TCTATCTATCTATCTATCTATCTATCTATCTATCTATCTATCTATCTACCTATCTATCTATCTATCTATCGACCAACGAATCTCTTCTACATGCACTTTCATACGAAATGAAGGTCCCCCTAATAATAGCGAAGTGGATAACGCCTTCCGAGTGATGGTAATAAAGTTCAACTGTCTATGAACTGGGATTTTTATTTCCCTCTTGATATCAAGACCAAGTTGGGGCCGTATTTGGTTTGGTGGCAGTCTCTTTTAGCCGTATGGAATTGGTCTGACTTGGTCTTCACAACTTGGTCAGAGAGACAAGAAAAAATTGTGGAACATTCCTAGTTCTGCGTCCCCTGTAATAGTATTCATGATAGTTTTTTGTTTTAAACTAGTGATATAGTAAAGTTCCTCTATTTTGGGTTTCGATATGCAAAGATCTCCTATTAATTCATCTATATCGGAGAGAAAACAGTGAATTCACAGTTTGGTAAAATAATGCATTGTAAAGGCTACTTTTGACTAGTTCACACAAACAAGCACGGACATGCAAAATAGCGTGAAAAAAGGATTTTATTATGATAAAATTTAATCTGTTATTTAAAGGTCCATTTTGATCCTCGCAAATTTTACTGACCTGAACTGGCCCAGCTGGACCATTGAGAACTGGCGTGTTGTATGAAAAAGTTGCCGAGGACCCGAAAACTTCCTTTGCTCTTAAATTTTCTAATGCTTCTGGGGCTAAAGAGGGCATTAGACAGAAGGGATAATGCGATAAAGGAACTGGGAAATGTTCATAAATTACTAATACTACTACTATAATTAATACGAATAATAATAATAATCAAGATAATTATTAAAAATTGTTTGACCTTATTTTTCGCATTTACATATTGCTTCGAGACTACCAGTAAATCAGTAATATGAGATTTATTCAGCCAATTTCGTTTAAGGTGATGAAGTACTGGTAGAATTTTCCCACAATTATATGAGTAGAGCTTATGTTTTCATTGGATTTCACATTGACTTGCTTTCCCAAAAGTTATTGAGTAGAGCTTGACTCATATCGTTGTGGGAAAATTCTACCAGTCCTTCATCACCTTAAACGAAATTGGGTGAATACATCTCATATTGTTAGACCTTTTTTTCGCAACTTGGTCGCATTGGTAGGAAGACCTGCGGGAACGCACCTCTTCCGGAGTCTATAGTATGCATGATAATTTTCAGAGCAACACAGTGGGTTTGGTACATTCCCAGACGTTTGTCCGGCATCGCCCGCGAGTCTTGCCATTCTCGACAACATTCTCTACAACTCGTCAAAGAGACAAATCAAGTCCATCCCTTAACCAAATGTGTGCTAAACATTTGTGCTATCTCCCCCTCTGTCCTGGGCTATTCACCTCTCAAATATCCTCGTATCATCCCTTCAATATCACAATTTTATACTTTTTTATCTGGAAATATTTGAAATCTATTCACACTCCATGCTGGTTTGATAACCACTCCCACTGTGCCGCGAGTGTTGATCCAAGACTGCGGTTTAATCCGAAATCCCCTCTCCTAGGCTCCAATCCGAGTCCTTCTCTTGTCTGCCTGATTTCACAACATCCTGACACCGTATCTGTGCTACTCAACACGCCATGTTCTACACTCTGTCTCCCCGAATAAGCCACTAAAGTCTAGATTCTCAATTTTCATGGCAACCTAACTTGGCGCTGCCTGGCATGTGCACCGAGTTGATCTCGCGGACAATCCTGTACTTCATGTGCCACGTCTATGACTTTCTTTTGTGTGCCGACCACAAATGTGATAGCTCAAATTGGTTTGAATAGACCCACTGCAGACGTCTTCTCTTGGTTTCCGATTGTTCCTCTCTTGTTGTCAGGACGACTTAGTAAAACGCAGTTAGTCCGAAGTCGTCTGCCATGTTAGTTGTCATGATTCCCAGCATCAGACAGTCGACTTGGTACATTCTCAAACGTTTCGCTGGCATCGTAGTCGGCATCATCTCTTTGACGAGTTTGTAGCTTGTCAAAGCTCCCTGATGATGCCAATGAAACGTTTTAGAATGTACCAAGTCCACTGTCTGATGCCGGGAATCATGACCACTACGCTGGCACACGTCTCTCTCTCTCATCCACCAGATTCGTTGCTTGTCGTCAAGCGATACCGGACATATTTTCTAGTCCGCCCGTCTTTCCTTCAAATATGACTCTTCAGTTGGAAGGAAGAGTTGTCGGTTGGACTGAATTCGTGAGCTGTCCTCATCGGAAACCGAATGAGAATTGTTTAAGAGTAGAAGCAGTTCAATTGCGATACGACATCTTCGACTTATTCTCCTGCAACTTCAATGAATCTTTGTTGGACTTTCATCCTTCGTGGGGCAGACATCGTCAGAGCGAGAAATGGTCTTTCACGAAACAGCGCACGAATACACTAAACCAATGCACACTGGAGAAGTGGGTTGACCTCGTTGTCGCAACTCGGTCTTGTTGTCAGGGCGACTTAGCAGAATGCACCGAGTCCGAAGTCGTCGGCCATAGTAGTTGTCATGATTCCCAGCATCAGAGAATAAGAATACTCACTGATGCTGCCGATTACGATGTCGGCGAAACGTTTAAGAATGTACCAAGTCCACTGTCTGATGCTGGGAATCATGACAACTAAAATGGCAGAAGACTTCGGACTAGGTGTGTTCTTTATAGTTGCCTTGACAACAAGAAAATGTTGCGCCGACGAGGTCAACCCACTTCTATAAATCGAAAGGAGGCTGCGACCATAACAGAGGTTACAACATCTTGGTCTTCATGTATTCAATCGAAAGTATTACCTTCGTCTAGTCGTCTTCTTTTTGCTGATATTCCTGTTCCCTTATCTTCTCCAAATTTGTTAGGGAAGTATGCAAAGTTTTCGCTAATCCCGCCTTCTTAAAGTCTCCTGTTCATTGGGTTTCTTTCAGTCGGGATAACAATGGCATCTCGTATCTTACCATTTCTTGTATCTCCACCACATGCAGACAGGCATTCTGTCGATTTTCACTAGATTTCGTGTCCCGTCCGTGCGATGTGATTCGCTATTTCGGATCTTTCAGTTTCCATGTTTCTGCAGAGTCTTTGGCGTTCCTTGATTCATAACCTAATTTTTCTTTCTATTTCACCATTTCATCCCCGCTCAAAGTTGTCACATTTGATGCTACAGACTGACAAGCAATCCAGTCTGTCAACCTTCTCGTATTGCGTCGGCAGGCTTGTGAAGAGTGTTGTCTATTCTTTGGTTATCACTTTGATATTCCATTCGCTTAGCAACGGTGGCAATTTCTAGCTCCGTCCACAGCAAGGCAGGCATATCTGCTTTTTCTCGTCCTTCCGATTTCTCATCTTATTTGCATAAAGTCATAGTTGAAATCTCCTCTTTATGACGGCTCTATTTCTTTCTATTAATTATCTGGGCTACTCGTTACTAAGGCAAATCCGAGTCAGTTTCTCCAACTTTCCGTTCCAGAACTTACTGCTTCTGATGATCATACTCTTCATTCTCCCGAGCTGCAGTCTGTAGTTGTGATGAGATTAGAAGTTGATGATCATTCCCGCATATGATTTCTTGCTGAATAGTCTCCTCTTGAGTATTCCGTTGGAGTGAACAACTTCAATATTCAGAAAGGGTAGTCATTTATCCTCCTCCATCTCCATTGCAAATCTAATTGTATCATCAAGTTGGTGTATAAATGGAGAAATTCATCCACTCTCGGTTGCAGTGGTGACTTCTCCAATTCCCTTTTCTATTTGTTCAAGTACACATTTGCCAGAAGAGGTGAGTGGTGATCCTATTGGTAGTCTAAATA